GTATTTGTAATTTATTTAAAGTAAAATTTTTTAGTCATTATTAATAGAATTTTCCATTAATTAACTAGCTGTCATTTTTTAATTAATGATTGTTTTGCATACCTTCACGCATATCTTTTCTGCAATTAATACGGATATTACTACTATTCACGCAAAAGTTTTCAGCCAAATTCCAAAATAGGGGCCGTTGTGATTTGGCAACTTTTTTTTGAAGCCAGCTGTTTTCTTGTACTGTTTGCAATTCACTTAACTTCCAATCGCAACCTTTTACTTGGAGCACTTTGACGAAAAGATTTTTTGATGCCAAATCAAAGTGCATTCTGCAATTTCACCAATTCCTCATGTTGAACTTATTAATTTCTCATTTACAATTAAATAAACGTATGCCTAAAGTAGGATAATATTTAAAATCTAGCATAATTCAGAACTTTATTTGAAATATTCATTGTATATAGGTATTAGAAAGCATTGATGACTATGTTATGCAAGAATTATTATATTGAGACAACCGCCAGCATTCCATTGCAATACATGCAGACCAACCTGGCGATGGTTAGGATAGCAGCGAGAGCTCGTACCGAAAACTGTAGACCACTTAGCCGTATAGAAAGCTGCCCAGGGTGCACCATTAGGAGGTAGGTCTACATTGCACTCAACTACTATTACTACATTGTATACTTTTATGTGCCTTTTCTTCTTTATTTTGTGTTTTACCCATTTTTGTATTGCCTTGAAATTGGAAATAAAAACAATAATTATAATAATTATAATTTAAGCCATCATGCGTTAATAGTTTTGTTATACATAAAAACAACTGAGTGTAAACATGATCAGATTGGGGTAAATAAAAAATCCTTTTTTCACAAATTTTTTACTACTGTGCCAAAAAGTAAGACCAATTATTTTCTTTTTCAAAAACTCTTTATTTATACTTCCAAATTCATTTCATCGCCGCCAAAGTAATCCCCTCCAGCCACAATGCACTTATGCCAACTTTTTTTCCCCATCCTCAATGCATGCTAAAATGTCATCGGCCGGGATGGCCTTCAAAGTGCGTGGCGATTCACGCTGACGAGTGACGATTCACGAGTGGTCTTTTGAGTTTAGTGAATACGGTGTTTAGGTGTGAATACGGTGGCTGTGGAACGATATGGGTTTCATTTTTGGCGCAACAGTCACGAAAAATCAATGCAGTGTGAGCTGGCGCATTGAGTGTTTTCGGTATTTAATGTTATTTATTTATTATTATTTTTTAGTGTTTTCGGATTGAAGAAAATCTAAGAAACCATTATATTAATTGGCATTATTTTAATGGATACCATTTTTTTTATTAAATCTTATCTGTATAATCAGCTTTATACTCTTTCGCTTAACTATCAGCTTTCTTTTACAGAAGATGGCGATATAACCGTTTTCGTTTTTCTTAATATAGATTAGGGCGATTAGCGCCCGTTAAAAACGTCAATTAAATGTCCAAGTGGAAGTGCTTTCCTAAATGAGGTGTGAAGGCAAAAGAGCATCGAATCAGTTGCCTCATCCACTCTTAATAGATTGAATCTTGATAATTATACCTTAATTATCCATTAGTTATAATCGCCAATTGCTGATGTTTATCGAGGGCTAATGGCTTTGAAGTATCGTTGAAAGCGCGCTGATATAAGCCCTGATAAATATACTGGTAGTGAAACAGGAATCGTTAGACGATGAAATTGAATTTACCGATTCAATTAAAACTGTTTAATGCGTGATACTTGATACGCATCTAGTTCTTTTGAGTTGTTCAAAGAAAATAAAGATAATTTTAACAATTTCTTTACCGGATTTAATTGCTTTTGTTATTGCATAGCATAGTATTAATAAATCTTCTTCTATCAAATCATTTAATAATTTGTAGATTGATTGAAATTCATTTTTCTTAGTTACATTGGCTGTTAAAGTCATTTGAAAATAGATCAATCTTCCTTAGCGATAAAATACAGATTTTTTTAAAATTGTGATAAGGTTATAATTTAATAATTTTACGAGCTAAATTTAATTTATTTGGATTAAGTTATAAAATGATTATAAAACCATATTTTACTTTTAATTTAAAAGTTTGTGATGAATACGAAACATTAGAATTTAAGTACCTTTTGTAGTTTAGTTAACGATTGACATTGGTTATATGGCTTTGAAATTATCGTCATTCCAGTTTGAATGAAATGCTTTGATGTGGAAGTGTATTTATCAAATAAAATTAAGAGAAGTCTTTATTATCAGTCTATATTATTATCTCTAATTAATCTTGTTTTACTTAATGCTCTGTATTGGTGTTGTTTCTTATTCTATTTGAACAAAGAAATTATTGTTGATTTATTGTAGTCTGTATTGTTGTTGCTGTAGTTCCTTCCTCATTGTTTAGGTTATTGTTTTTTGTTATTCACAGTAAAATATTGTTGTTGCTATTGATTATTCCTTGATTAGTCCAAAATATTATTGTAACAAGTCTATGATGCCGTTTAATATCAGCAAATTCAATCCAGAATAGTGATATTATAATAAAATGCAGTGAAGGTAGTGTAAAATCTCTAAAATGATGGCTTCCTATAATAAAGATTAATAGGAATGGCAGACTCCAAATGTCTTTTCTACACATAGTAAACTCATTGCAATCTAACAATTTTAATCTGCTCTCTGACGCCGAATTTATATCCTTATACTAAGATGATTCATATGAAGAAAGGTAACATTATACAAATTAGCAGTTATATAATTAGCAAAATATAATAATTTGTAAGAAATTTTAATCAGAGGGCTTACAAAATCCCTATTTTAATTGACTATATTCTTTACAATCTAAATCGTACTTTCTCTTATGATTTTTCTATAATCACAGTTGCTCAAATCACAAAATGATGTCCCAGTTAGTTATTGAAGTTAGAAGATTAGAAAACATTGTCGTATGTAATTATTAGTAGATTAGTTTCTGATATATAATAAAAAATAATAAATAAGACAAATTATCACGATAAATATTTAATGACATAAAAGAAGTCAATTATTTATAGTAGCAAATGTTCTTTATAAGAAAATTTGATTATATTAAATCTAATTAATCTTCAATTTCAACGTCACATTGAAAAAAAAATTCCTAGAATTTACTAATGTTTGATAGCTTTTAAGTTATTATTCTTTGTTAAATAGCAATTGCAACAAATGTTTACTAAAAAAAATTTCAAAAATGTATTTGTTTTATATTGTCTGCTCAAAAAAGTTAGTTTAGTTTACTTACCTGACTAAAATTTTATGTATAGATATATGTATCTGATATTCCTAAAAGAGTTATCTATAATCTAAACTATTTAAGAAATGTTACATTTTCAGTTATAAAAGAATTCATTATCAAGAATTCAGACTTTTATTTACTTTCTAAACCAGAATTCTGAATTTAAAAAAGTTTTCAGACGAGGAATATTCATTTTAAAAATTATCCCTCTTTCCATTAATTAAAGTAATTTCCTTTTATTTTCATTTATTTAATCTTAAATAAGGAAAAAATATGTTTGCAATCCTCAATAATGACTGGATGATATTTTATCCTGTTAATCATTAGATTTGTATCGAATTTAATTCCTATTATTTTTTTAAAATCTGAATTGGTAATCTGCTTACTTTGTTAAATTCAGATTACTTTTATTTACTTACTAAATCAGAATTCTGATTTTAAAAAAAGTTTTCAGATGAGGAATATTCACTCTCTCCTCTCATTAAATTATTTAATCTTAAATAAAGAAAGAAAATGTTGGTAAATCTGAATTGGTAATCTGCTTACTTTGCAAAAGAACTTACTTTGTATATCTCAGATAATTTTTATAATACTGAATTTAACAAAGTTTTCAGATGATTCAGATGATGAAATTATATTCACTGTATAAAATTATCCCCCCTGCCATTAATTTATTTAATCTTTAATAAGGAAAGAAAATGTTTGCAATCCTCAATAACGACTAGAAAATATTTTATTCCATTAATTCATTAGAGTTATATCGAATTTAATTCCGTTTTTTTTTTATCTGAATTGGTAATCTGCTTAATTTGTGAAAATAAATCGCATTATCTTTCATTTAAGCGATAAATTTTTTATCTATTCAATAAATGAAAGATACCAAATAACAGAAATAAAAAAACGCTAAGATGGATTTAATTTCTGATAGCAATCCGTACTTCCCAGAAAACCATTATATAATAAAGAAAATAAAAGTTTGTATGTGTGTGTGTGTAAATATATATATCAGTACGATACTTGAATTCGCATTTATCTGGAATCAGAAGAAAAAAGCAAATTGTGTCATTAAAGTAAAACAGACCGCTTTTAGAATCTGATGCCGGATACTTTGAACAATGGATATGGTGGCGATAATTACAACTCGGAAAACTTTTTCTTTTCGCTTGAGTCAATTTAGAGAAGGCGATAAAAGAAAGTCTTCGAAAAAGAAAAAGAAAAAAAAAACATGAAGAACAAGAAAATCAGCAATCTCATATAAAGCAAGCGCAATGGCGAAATGTTACGCTACAGTAGGTCTTCGCGTTGGAAGAAAAATGGATCAAAAGAGATAAAAAAAATTCTTCTTATGAAACATGGGAGGATATTAAAGAGATTAAGAGCTGAGAAACAACAACCAACGAATTTAATAAGTAGAAAAATTCACTTCACTTCTTTTCCTTTTTGGCTTCAAACAATGTTCGTTGGAAAAAAAGAACCAAATATCGCAATCAAGATTCTTTGCGGCTAATGGTAAATGTTTTCAGAAGCACATCGGAAAGATCTTAAGTCTGATGTAACTAAATAGATTTTTTTACTCAGAGCAACATTTGAGTTTTGAGAAATTAGTTTGATTTTAACCACATTTCATCAATGGTTTCTTTTGGGAAGCTTGAAAACTTCATCAAGTTTATTTTATTGTGAAACATGTGTTTGGCAAGATAAACGTCATATTATCCCTAACGATTTTTTGGAATCCAACGGCCGTACCATGCTGAATATACCGGTTCTCGTTAGATCACCGAAGTCAAGCATCATTGGGCGCGGTCAGTACATGGGTGGGTGACCACCTGGGAACGCTGCGTGCCGTTGGCAAATTTGGGACCTGAATGGCCGAGTGTCTAGCGCTCTGGCGCTCGGTGTCACAGGTTTCGGGTTCGAATCCTGGCGGTGCCATGGATGTTTGTAGTGGTTCGGAATCCACTTTAAGCCGTAGGTCCCGGTCTCCTATGACCCTAAGAGCGTCACGGAGCAAAAGTCATGGAATTAAATAGATTTTTAACGGGTGCTCTATCCCAACAGAAGCTGCTTCCTTCCCCTTCAACCATGAGTACGTATGGGCTCGTGGGCTTGGCCAGCCAAGTGGGATAAGAAACAACAAACAACACGATTTTTTGGTTGCATCACATTTATAGATGACTGATTGCCTGTTGGTATCTGTCTAATAATTTATTCTTCAGTTTTTGTTTATAGTGATTCATTAATTTATTATCATATTTAAAATCTTCATCAAGTATATTTTATTATGAAACAGGCTTATGACAAGATGAAAGTCATATTATCCCTAACGAAATCTTTGTTGTATCATATTTATCGATTGCTGATTGCCTGGTGGTATTTATGTAGTAATTTATTCTTTAGTATTCGTTTGTAGTGATTTGCTATTTTATTGTCATATTTAAAAACTTCATCAAGTATATTTTATTATGAAACCTAGTTTTTGGTCAGATAAACGTCATATTATCCCTAACGAATTCTTTGTTGTATTATATTGTTCGATGGCTGATTGCCTGGTGGTATTATTATTTCTTGAATCTCGGTAACATCAGATAATATTTACTAGTTTGTAGTAAGTGATTAATTATAAATACTATTGGATAAAACATTTTACATTATAAAAATGTTTCCTATTATTATATGATAAGGACTGGAATGCATTTCATGATATGCTCTATTATCGAAATTTGATTTCTAATTTATATGTTTCTCTCACACTATCATTTTAATCATTGAAAAATTAATTTTAGTTCAAGCTCCATTTATTGTCACTTTCTCATAATGTTTTCCAAATTTCTTTTGGGATTAAATTATCGTAGAAGTAGATTGCATAAGATTCTCGTTCTGGAAGACATGTCAATCTTCCTCGTAATCTTCTAGTGCATGGCATGATGTATTTAATTATTAAAACATAAAGTGCCCTTTTTCTTCACAGCAAGAAATTTGTATGTTTTTCTCACATTGTCATTTTAAACATTGAAATACTATTTTTAGTTCAAGCGCAATTTATCGCTACTCTCTCATAATGTTCTCAAAATTTCTTTTTGGATTAAATTATCGATAGAAGGAGATTGCACATGATTCTAATTCCGGTAGACATGCCAATCTTCCACGTAATCCTCTAATAATATATAGCATACTACATTTAATTATTAAGAGACAAAAGCCCCTTTTTAATCAGAACAAGAAATACTCAATCATACCATGCTTGATGAAAAATTGAAGCCTTCAAATCGGACTGTTTAAATAAGAATCTCTTTGGGATATCAGTTTTTGGTCTAAGAAGACTGCACATGATTCGAAAGACATGTCAATCTTCCACGTAATCCCCTAATGCATGGCATGATACATTCAATTATTAGGAGATCAAATACCCTTTTTAATCATAACAAGAAATACAATATATACATACACTAGATGAAAAATAGAATCCTTCAAATCGGATTGTTTAAACAAGAATCTCTTTTGAATTATCAGTTTTTTTAAGTTTCTGGAGATTGCACATGATTCTAGTTTCAGAAGACATGTCAATCTTCCGCGTGATCCACTAATGCATGGCAGGATACATTTAATTATTAAGAGATCAAATGCTCTTTTTAATCGGAACACGAAATACAATATATACATACCATACTTGATGAAATTCATACCATACTTGATGAAAAATGGAAACTTTCAAATCAGATTGTTGAAATCTATAATCTATATAAAAATATCTTTGAAGTTTAAGGAGATTGTGCATGATTCTAGTTTCGGAAGACATGTCAATCTTCCACGTAATCCCCTAATGCATGGCATGATACATTCAATTATTAGGACATCAAATACCCTTTTTAATCAGAACAAGAAATACAAAATCATACCATACTTGATGAAAAATGGATGATAATGATGAAAAAAGGGAAGGCTTCAAATCGGATTGTTTAAACAAGAATTTCCTTTGAAGTATCTATTTTCGATATTTAAGGAAATTGACCGCGATTCTAATTCCAGAAGACTTGTCAATCTTCCATGCAGTCTTCTAATGCATGGCATAATACATTTAATTATTAAGAGATCAAATTTCCTTTTTTAATCAGAACAAGATATATTAAACCATACCATACTAGATGAAAATGGAAGTCTTCAAATCGGATAGTTTAAATATCTCTTTGAAATATCAGTTTTTGAAATTTAAGGAGATTGCACATGATTTTAGTTCATGAATACATGCCAATCTTCCACGTAATCCTCTAATGCATGACATGATACATTTAATTATTAAGAGATCAAATAATCCGTTTTAATCAGAACAAAAACCATACTTGATGAAAAATGAAAGACTTCAAATCGAATTGTTTAAACAAGAATCTCCTTTGAAGTTTCAACTTATTAAACTAACAAACGATAAAATTATTAAGATAAACACACAAAACGAGAAATAAATATTGTTTCTCTTAATTTTTAAATCCTGTTTCAACTTGATGAAAACTTCAGTGACTGAATCAATACCAGTTTCGCACTGAGCGATGTAACATGTGGATGCGATAGTTCTTTTTTAGGAAAGGCCATTTCAATGGCATTTAATTACCCATGGAACGCCCTTGATTAAAAGAAGGAGAAGACTCGGTTTCAATCGCTTATTTTAATGAGATTTTCCGAGAATGAATGCCTCGTTTTCATGTTCTGTATGGGGATTTGAAGAAATGGCTGTTACGTTAATGGCTTAAGGTGAAAGCCATTTTCTTCATTTATGTTTCTAAATAAAATTTTATTTTAAGTAAATTCTAATGCCTGGAATAGCAACTTTAATTTTAACTTTGAGTATTTTTTTATCTCTATATTTTCTATCATCTAAATTAGCTAAGCTAAATTTAAAAGTAAATTGCCACTTTTCCAATGACAAAATTAAGTTGTTTTTTTACTTTAAATTACTAAAATTAAATTATTTTTAGCAGCTTAATTGATTCATATTATATTAGTGTAAATGCTTGCATTTCTTACGTATATAAAGCTTGCAGAATTTTGCAAACTTAATACTTACAGCTATTGCTAAATAAATATTATAATACCACCGTAACAGTAATTTGGACTAGAAATAATATTAACTCTTTATAATTTTTTATTGAATTTCTTTCAAATAAAATTAGAAATTAAAAGAAAAGCTTTGCACGCTGTATTTTATGATAAATTATTTATCATTTTCAGCGTATTAATGCATGTAATCGGCAGGTTGGGCAACCAGATTGTAACTCGGTGTGGTTGGGTTGAGATACTTGAGGCACAGGTTTCAGAACTCACAGCTTTATTTACTCATGCACAAACATCACACATATAGAATTACATATATACAATATTTAGCACATTTAAAGACATATAATTATAAAATCGTGGCAGGATTCCATTTCTAAGCCAAAAACCCGAAACTTGGCTACGCGAAAAGGTGCGCCAAATTTATTTCCTCACAGCGGGAGAGTCCTCCTGAACGTCACAAAGGGCACTCTTGCCAGTGGGTTGGTGGAAGCATAGTTACAGACTTATTTTTACAACTGAATCATTCATTAAATATAAGTTTATATTAATTTTGTGTCTATGAAATTTTTTTTAAAGAAATACTTACAATTTTGTAAATTTTAAAAAATACATAATGATGCCAAAGATAACTAAAATTTTAAATAAGAATTTTGGATCAGTTGTAAAAAATAAAAATTTCATTTTTTTCCCACAACAATTCTGTATACAGATGTAACACGATACAAATTTAAATAAAAAGTATTCAATACGATAGTTCTTGCTGTTTTTATATTAATGTATATCATAGTAGAAATAACCATACCTTATTTTCCATCCTAATTTGTTGCTTACGCTTGTTTCTCGTTTGTATTTTGTAATTGAACATTATTTAAACTGGAAACAAAAAATACTTGTTTCAGTAAATACAAGAATATGGGTTATAATTACTTCATTTTCCTACATTTTACCTCAATCTTAGAATTGAGTGTAGCAGCTAACTTCATCACCACAGCAATCTTATATTTGAGTGTAACAACTAAAATCATCATCAAAATTACTTATCTTTGACTGTAACAACTAACATCATTACAATAATCTTATATTTGAATGTAACACATAACATCATCCCAATAATCTTATATTTGAGTGTAACAGCTAACATCATCATCACAGCAATCTTTGACAGTAACAGCTAACATCAACACAATAATCTTATCTTTGAGTGTTACAGCTAACATCATCATCTAGAGTAAATTCATGCACGTCATTTAAAGAATATAATTTTTAATCAGCATTAATTTTTTTAACTTTAATTAGCTTTTTTAATTTTTTATTAAATCGTTTCAAATAAGTACACAAATATAAATAAATTTTTTGAGTAACTGAATTTCTTCTTAGATGTAATCAGTTTTGCATCAACCTGAAGTAATTATCATTACTTTAAGTTGATGCAATACTGCCAAGATGCCTGCGAAACAACTTCTTCTTGCACGTCCTCTAGGGTGTTCACAAACAAGATAAAGTACCACCAGATCCCCCAATTATCCCATATTCAACGAATCTCCCCATGTATTCACAATTAGACCGCTTATTACCAAGTCCATTCCTTTAGCAGCACTGCAGGAAGAAAACTTTGACAGAGAAAAAGTGGCATGTCACGAAGGAAGAAAAGGGCACCAAAAAAGAAGATCTTTTCAGAAGCCAAGAAGCAGAAAGAACATCTGAAAAGAAAACGCATAAGAGAAAAACTCTATTACTATGTAATGGGATATTTCGACGAAAGGATAAATGTCCTCCCAACACGGTTATCTATCACTGTCGT